CCTCAGAAACAAGGACGCAAAAGCACTGCGACGGTGCTGGGCAATCTACGAAGACCCGAAGCTGGTGATGTTAATCCCAATATCAGCCAACGCTGGTCCAACATCGAGATTCAGGTTGATCGTATTGCTCTTGATCGCATCTTCGTAGTAGGTCAAGTGCTGGCCATCTTTGATACTCGAGTTGCCCACAATCTCGAGCGGCAGCACAGCATTGTTGTACTTGTTCTGAATCAGGCCCAAGATAGCGAGCTGGTCGACGTGGCTTTGCAGAGGGAATACGTTGTCGCCGGGCTTGAGGTAGAGGTTTGGAATGAGTGCGTAGCCAATTGCGGTGCCGTCGACGGCTAGGTTCATGGTGATGTTGCCTAGGTCGAGGGTCATGACAGAGGGGTTGGGAATGCTGACGTTGGCAATGAGGTTGGAGCCATCGGAAAGGATCTCGTCTGTGCCGGAGAGAATGCGCACGTCGCTGATGTTGAGTCCGGAGAGCTTGTTTAAACCTGCAAACACAATCAGACTAGTTCTTACTGTAGCTTCAATGAGACATACCCTTCATCGTAATGACTTTGTTGTAATCGACGTCCATGGTAGGCAGGCCAGAGAGGTGAATGTTGGTCTTGCCGTCAAGGTGAATTTGGAGTGTCTCGCTGTCCAGCACAGCCTTGGTGTAACTGGAGAACTCGACATCACTCGCGAAAATGACATCTTGGTCGACGGTGACGCGGGTCTCTGCCTCAGATTTCGCTTCCGGTATGGTGATGTAGATAAAGGGGTCTTGTCCTGGTAGCGATAGTCCAGCTTTGAAACTGTCAATCTTCGGGTGATAACTACTGCCACTCCTGATGACTGTATCAATCTTCAGGTGGACACCTTCTGGCTTCGGGTTGGTAACCTCCTGAGCAGTAACTTCGAGTGTCGAGGAGTTGATCTCATGCTGTGCCTTATTTGGTATGCCGACAAATATGATTGGCAGAACAATGACCAACACAATGATCACGAGGACCAGGCAATCTGACGTAATGTAAACACGAAGAACATTGAGGCTGTCGGGAGAGGCTTACCACACCACCAGAACTTTCTGCAGTGGTTCTTCATACGCCCTTTCGCGCCTGGCGTGGGTCCTGGCGGGTAGAGCTTGTTCATAACGCCGCCTTTTTTCTGGGGCGTTGTATACACATCGTCCGCCCGTGTTGCTCCGCCCTCTTTGCTCTCCATATTGACGGTCTCGTGTGAAGTGTAAAGATGTTGTTGTGTACAGTTCGATAGCTCTACCGCCCACCGGTTGATGGCGATTCAGAGCAGCTGTGGGTTCTTCAGGGGACAGACCCGCAGGGTGTCGCACGCGAATTAAGTAGAAATAAGAAAATACACCAAGACTTCCAAGGACGGTATGAACGCGGAGGTACGCGGGGAACGCACACCTTGTGGATGTCAAAAGCTGGGGAATGTGTAGGAGACTGGCACATGCGCGAAAACGACCGAGACCCCTCTTACGCCAAATACCAATTGGCTGTGCACCGATGGCAAGGCGAATGTCGAAAAGGGTACGATCAGTGACAGGCCTCTTAGCGATTTTCATGAAGATGACGGGTTGCCCGAGAAAGTAGCCTGTTGCGGATACGCTCCGAAGCACTCACCACCTATCCGGTCGCATTACAAAGCCGAGGCAGCGCAGGCATTCGAAGGATCAACTGGCACATGCGTGAGGGATGTCTAAAGAAAGCGGCCACATTTTGTAATCTATGGCGCCGAAGAGCCGTGAGTGGATAGGACTGCGAGAGGGACCAAGCTACTCGGCAAAGCCCGTCTATCTGGATTGGCTCGTCCTACTACAGCCAGAGGCGAAAAGGCGTTGACTCGAGTGACACGCGATCATATCGAACAGCGCTGAGCAGCCCGAACAGTGCGAGGGATCGTTGTTGACCCCAGACGGTGGCGCGGGTCCTGCACCTTTTGAGGTTAGAGGTGGAGAAACCCCCCCTGAAGCGGCAACCAATGTAAGCCAATGCTTGTCGGTGGTCGATCTGAATTCGGGAGACGCGCCTCTTTGTTGCAGGAAGGAAATAATCTAAAGCCGTCTAAAGCAGCAGGTGAGCAGATGTTTATTGCCTCAGGTAAGAGAATCACCAGCCCCCTCATTCACATGAAGGCAAGAAGCCGAAATGATGGGCTCGAGCCGAATCAATCCCAACACCCAGCAAGCGACTGCATCTCTGCATCTTGATATACACGCTAGGACAGAGAATGCAAGCGGATGGCTCCGTCGCACTGAAAGTCATCTAAATCAACATCGAGCAGGGGTTGCCTTGGCATCCGAAACGCCCGCCATGTGCGGTTGATGTCGTGTCCAAATCGATTTGTGTGGCACTCAGGGCCGGCCCAGCCCTTTCTTCCAAGGAACGTAGGTGGCGGAAGTCGTTGTTCGAGCCTCCCGGGTCTACGGTTGGTGACGAGATCGTTTGGGAGGCCTAATGTGCACCCGCGTCAGTAAGCGCGATGCGTTACTATAGCCTAATGTCACGCTGCGGAAGACGTTATAGTGCATGCCTGTAGGCTTATTAATTACTAGTCTACTAATCTAATTTTTTTTATTATTCTATATTTAAACTTTAACTAAAATATATCTTACTTAATTTTAAAACTTTTTTTAACTTTAGCTTTTAATAGTAATAAAAAAGCTATTATTATTAGTAGTAGTATTATAGGTAAAAACTTTTTTATAAAGTTATTTAAGAGTATTATATTTACTTTAAGTAAAAAATTTAGTATTAGTACTAAAGCTTATATTACTATAAATAAAATTAGCTACTACTATAAAGTAGAAAGTTACTTATAAATCTACTCTTTTAAAGTAATTATAAGTAGCTTTAAAAAGTATAGTAAAGTTAGTAAACTTCTACTTAATATAGAAGTTATTAATAAAATAAATAGTATATATTAAGTAACTAGAGTATACTTATAGCTTTAGGCTTACTTATTAAGTAGTAGAGGTAGTTACTATTTTATATATAGATAAAGATAAGTATAAAAAGATTAACGTATAAGTGTAAAAATTTTATAATTCTATTTCTTCTAAGTATTAGTAGTATATAACTATAATAGTGTACTTTAGTTATTAAGTTAAGATTTTTTTAAATTTCTATAGTTAAGATACTAAAGCTAAGGCTTACTTAGACATGTGATGCGTCACTATAGCGCTGATTGAGGGCCGATGGCAGTAGTAGGCTGGGCGAGGAGATGTGGTCGAAAGAAGACTCTGGGGGATCGCCTGCCCTGACATATGCCAAGGGAACGCTACGAAGGTGGGTCGCTGCCGCTGCGGGCGGTCCTGCAAGCCCTGGAGTTGAGGCGCGCGAGTCGACAACACGAATTTTGAGACCATTCACAACTCACTAGCACAAGATGGCGCAATCGGACGAGGAGGATGACTACATGAATATGGTGTTTGAGGATGCGCCAAAGGGGCCAAAGTATGAGACTTCCCTCCAGCGCGCCGCGCGCAAGCGCAAAGAGGTGCGTTGAGTGGATTTGCCAAATTTCGCCAGACTGACACATTGACAGGGCGAAGCCAAAGCGCGACAGAAAACCAAAGCCGAACGAGAAGAAGAGGCTGAAGCTGCACGCGAAGCTGCCCTCGCCACTGCTCTGCCCGAGACCAACAAGGGATTCAAGATGATGGCCAAGTTTGGATTCAAGCAGGGCGATGCTCTGGGCAAGTCTGAAGACGCGCGCAAAGAGCCTATACGAGTCAACCCCAAAGACGACAGAGGAGGCATTGGTCTTGAGTCGGAAAAGAAGCGCAAGTTCAGAGAACAGTTCGAGGAAGCAGATCGACTGGCAAAGCGCGCAAAGGAAGAAGAGGGTGATTACCTGGAGATAATGCGCCAAGAACAGAAAGAGAAGAAGGCCGAACGAGATTTGGATAGCGCGCAGAGGACAGCCGAGCGCTTGTCTGACAAGAAGGCCGAAGAAAAAGGCGCGCCAGACACAAGCGAGAAACCACTGAAGGACATCAACGTCCTTTGGCGTGTTCGTGCGCGGCGCAGGGTCGAGAAGAACCGCGACAAGCAGCAACGACGAGAACTGAACAACAGCATTTCGTCGCGACTTCCGACGCTAGCCCCCGAAGACGAAGACGACGATTCGAAGATAGCACAAGGCCGAGATCTTGCGCCATTCTACACTACACTTGAAAGCGAGCTCGAGGATGAAGATCCAGAGCTGGCAGAGTTTGAGGCCTTGCCCGTGGCAGAGCGGTTACAGAAGCTTCTGGTATTCCTTCGCGAAGAGTACCATTACTGCCTGTACTGCGGATACGAATACCCTGATGCCGAAATGGAAGGATGTCCAGGCGTGACTGAGGAGGAGCACGATTGAGAGACCTAATCTTCACCACATGAAGATGTCTCGATAATACAAGCTACGAGCTCGAATTCTGCTATGCTCTTAGCCTACAACAGGTGAGATCATGGCTGGACATATGAGACTGGCGTAATGCTCGGCTCGTGCAATATCGTCTGGCTTTGCTACTCTGGGTCGCGGTCACAACATGGCAACGGTCTCGGAAAGTCATAGTCGCTGGTGAAAATCTAGTGAATCAAGAAGTCCAGTTCTTTCTGGTTCCAAGATGTCTATCGACGACCATTCGAAGGTGAGGTAGCTTCAAAGTACTTTTTACACTCCCAATTGCTATCGATTATCAATAAGATGGACAAGAGGAACGCGCGAGGTGAAAATAGTACAATACACCCGTAGGCAAACCAGTGCAAATAAACCGCAATAAAACAGAATTCTCGGATGTCATAACTCTGCCACTCCTACCACAATATCGTCACTACACACTGGTATTCGGCGTTGTCCCTGAAACAGCCTCGTGAGCTTTGACCAAATCACCAAGTCCCGTGCTCACGCGCTTCGCGATTCGTCGCGCCTGCCCCTAGCCCTTGCCCATCAACAACATCAGACAAGTAAACAAGCCATCCCGCCTGCAAAGATTGAAAATGGAACATCAGAAAAGCTACATATATGAGCCACCTTCGACAGAAGAACGGGCGCCAAAGCGACAAAGAACCGGCAAATTCGACCCGCAGGCGCAACTACCAGAACGGCTAGCCAGGTATCGGCAGTTGTGGGCACAGCAAGACGAGCGCATTCAAGTGAGTGATCCGAATAGTGACACGCGTTAAATGGCTGCTAATATGAGCAGAGTACTTTGGAAGGGGCAGATAGCGCCACCCAGGAAAAGATCGTCAACTTCATCTCCGCTTCCAGCGCATCGCCAGATGAGCCCAAGTTTGCCATACCAACAGCGCTCATCGTTGCCGGTCCTAGCATTGCATCCCATGGCCCTTTTTTCGAACGCCTGGGTCGGGGCATCAGAGCTGAAAACTGCGCATATGTTGTGCTGACGTCCAGCGAATGTCCAAATTTGAAAACGCTACTGAAAACGCTCATCAAGAAGGTTACTTCGCGCGTGGACGATGAGGATGAGGATGATGTAGACCGTCCAGCTACGTCTTCGAGGCATGGTCCAAAGTTACTCAATTACGATCTTGGTCATGTTCAAGAATGGCAAAAGAAGAATCGCGCTTCTAGCATCGTTGTCGCTTTGCAGGATAGTGAGGCTTTCGACGTCGCACTACTCGTCGATGTAGTTGATCTTCTTCAGTACGTCTGATCATATCTAGCAATGACCCATGCTAATTTATACAGCTCATGGCTCGATCGTCTACCTTTCGTTCTACTCTTTGGCATTGCTACTTCGGCAGAGAGCTTCGAGGAGCGATTGGCAGGCAACTCACTCCGCTACCTTGAAGGCCAGAAGTTTGACGTTACCCAATCTGACGAGATCATTGAGAAGCTGTTTCGCGCGACGGTTGCCAGCACAGACTCTCGACTTCACATTGGACCTAACCTCTGTCGCCGTATGTTGGATCGACAGAAAGATCATGTTCAGAACACACAGGATTTCTGTGATGGGCTGAAGTACGCTTACATGTCGCACTTTTATGCTAGCGTACCCAGCGTCTTCCTCACGCATGATGTTACACCCGGAGACCTATCAGCAGATGCGTTCGAAGCTGTTCGCACTCTGCTATCGTTTCGCCAGTGGGTTGAGCGCATGCTAGAAGCTGGCCAGGCACAAGATGTACGAAGGGTACTGGAAGACAACAAGTACCTGTTCGACCAGATTGCACATCATCTACAGTCTGGCCAACGCTCCATGATATCATTGAGCCACGCTGCTGAAGTACTAGCGAACATCCGCGAATCGCTTCAGATGTCACCCAGCGTCCGGCTTTCATCTATCTGGACCCGAGCAGCAGCTGGCGAGCTAGCTGGATCGCCCCTCATCCGCGAAACGATGTTGTCCATCAAGAAGATTCCATCCGACAGACTGGTACATTTGCTAGCATCGCTACGAGATCTTGAAGACGACAACCTCTCGTTGGGCATTGCTTCAGCTCAGCAGACGCTCGACACCCTGCTACAAAACGCCGATGCACCGCTCCGCACGCAGCACGATGTCCGCAACGACAGTGTACGAACCACTGTCGTGGCACAAAAAGTACTTCTGAGCAAGCACAAAGCTGCACTGTCCGAGCAAGACAAGGCATACTCAGACCTGGTCACAGAATTTCACGACAAGCTCGAGGCGTATTTCACCTCCTCGTTCATCGACCCGAAGACGTTGACTCTGAATGAGCTCTTCATATACGACCTAAAGTCACCACACACAGAGGTCTTCCAACCCAAGCCGCGCTTTGCTGTTGAGCGTGCACTAGCTTCTCCTCACGACTATCTGGGCTGCGAATGCTGTAGTGGAGTCGATGGAAACCCGGCAGCTCTTTCTGCAACACAACCCGCAACAGCCATTGTGTATCAGATGTACCTCGAGTCCGGCACGTTGATCAATGTCACCGATCTTTGGTCGGCATTCAACGCCATTGCAGGAGACGGAACAGAAGAGAATGAGCCCAACACCATGTAAGTCTGCACCCTCATATCACAGCCATAGTATAGTAATCCGTCACAGGGCACTATTCCAGCGAGCACTAGCCGAACTGCGATACCTCGGCCTCGTCAAACCCAGTCGAAAGAAGACGGACCACATTTCCAAGATCATGTGGAAAGGACTTTGAACCTTGTTCCCTTCTCCATTGCAGCCGCCCTACATAGAATACATATCATACACCCCATTTCCATCCCAATTAAGCCTTCTTGGGCTGCGGCGCAGTATCACAAACCGTCCCACAACTCTTACAAGTCCTCTTCTCCGTATCCGCCTTGAAAGCATTCACCGCATCCTTAATCTGCGTGCCCAAATCCGTACAATAAAACGCCGCCTCATACACCTTATCCCCACAGTTCTGACAATACCACCTCAAGCGGTCCAAACTGCCCTCCGGCCTCTTCTGCTCCAGCACCACGCCCACAGTGTCTTTGAAGCGCACGGGGTTATGCGGTGTGTTTGGGGGCAGTAAGAACATGTCGCCTTCGTTGATGTGGATGTCTTTGAATTGCTGGCCTGGTGGGAGAGTCGTGTCGACGACTTTGAGTAGCATGCCGCCTTTGTGTTGGTAGAACCATTCTGCGGTTTCGTTGATGTGGTAGTCGGTTCGTTCGTTGGGGCCGCCGACTATCATTACGGTTACGGCGTCGTTGTAGACGCAGTAGTTGTTTATCGGCGGTTTGAGCATGTGCGCGTTTTCGGAGACCCTGGATGAGAGGTGGGTTAGCTTTGCGCTGTGTCTGTTTGGGGTAGAATGGGCTGGCAGGAAACGGGATAGTTGGTGTATGTACCATTTTGGTATGTTCAGTGGCGGACCAAGTTGTCGGTGCGGTTGCGATTGCGAGAAGTGGCGCTGTGGGAGTGCTGCGGAAGCTCGCGGTGTTGATCGCGAGGCGCGTTGCGCAAGCCGGATGGCTGGCCGTAATGATCGCGTCGTGTTCATCTTGGATTAATGTGTATGTCAAAAGAGAATCTTGTTCCTCAAGTCAGCGCGACGAGTTTGTTTGGTCTGCTTTGAAATGTAAAGTCGACGATGTAATCAATCATCCAGGGTCCACGAGTGGGGAGCTTCTCGCCCCGCGGAACCGCGGCTCGTGCGTGCATTTGTCGATCACTGGTGCGACGCGTGCCATCACATGCAGCTCCTCGACCCGCCTATCTCGAGACACGAGCATAGCTTCCCCATCTCCTCTGCAGCATCCAACAACAACCACTCCAACCGACCTCAGAAGCAAAACACAACATGGGCATGGATCACTCGCACATGGACCACGGCCACATGGGCCACGACATGCCCGGCATGGGCGGCGACGGACCCAAGTGCAACATGAACGTATGGTTATCTACGTCCCAGTAACAGACGACACGCTGACATATCGCTCGAATAGATGCTGTTCACCTGGGACACGACCGATCTCTGCATCGTCTTCCCCTCCTGGCACATCTCCGGCACGACCTCGCTCGTCTTCTCGCTCCTCGCCGTCGTCCTCATGACCGCCGGCTACGAAGCCATCCGCGAGATATCGCGACGATACGAAGCCTACTCCAAGACCGTCATGGAGGGACCTAGAGGTGAGTTTGCCCCTTTCATACATACACACACCACATAGACAGCAGGAGTAGTAGTCAAGGAGACGTCGAGAAGAGGCAAGGTCGTAGAAGTAGGAGACTAGGGAGGTCTCTTTTCTTCTATCTTCAATCAACCACAACTTCTTGGGGAACACTCGCTGAGTTTAACCTTTTCGTCGCCCGTGTATAGACGACGCCACAGATGAATCTAGCTCATTACTTGGATCAGGGAGAAACGGTGGTGTGGGGCGCAGTGCCGAGCAGCAGATGAAGATTATCAAGGCTGTTTTGTATGCTGTGCAGGTGTTTTACTCCTTCTTCATCATGTAAGTTTTTCCTGGTGGCATTGGAGTTGGGGATTGGCGCTGATGTGTGTAGGCTGCTTTTCATGACGTACAACGGTTGGGTTATGCTTGCTGTTGCGGTGGGTGCTTTCGTTGGATACTTGATGTTCAGCCAGTCTTCGTCGACGAAGTCGGTGGCCTGCCATTGAGGAGCATACACAGAAGCAATGGGGCACGGGGGATTGGAGAATAAGAGGGGGCGAGGCCTACAGATGGTCTGCCCTCCACCAACGAGGTGCACATTGACACATCCTGCGATATCCGGGCCTAGTACCCTGCAGCTCCGATACATCGGACGCGCCGTTAAGCCCAACTTTGCAGCGCCAACCCTGTAGATAATTGAGTGCGAAAGAGCAGCTGGCAATATATTGTATCACGGATGTCTTGTTCGGTCCTCGCGCGAGATGCACCGAGATGCACCTGGTCGCATCGGCAACAGCTACCCCGAAAAATATAAATCCGAGCAGTTTGACCACCTGGGCACGATTGATCTTGAATGCAGAGTCTTCTACCTTGACATCGGAGCATCGTAGGAAGTCGGTGTAAGATGATGCTCCGACATGGTTTTGGAGCGAGAGTCAGTTCCAAAGACGGCAATATCGCCCGCTGACTGTCGCGGTCGTGCGAGCAAAGACCGATCGGGCTCTGATGCCTAGGCGGGATGATTTGCCATAACGAGCATCGTGGAGCTGAACCATCAACCAACATTACAAGAGTTGAAGACGAAGAAGTCGCGCAGCAAATGTATTGCGTCTACGATGTTCGAGATTTACGATTGTGGCTAGGCTTGACATGTGCTCTAGCCTTCACATGCCAACGGCGAGTTCCACGGTTGCGCGTTCCCACGCGTGACTTGCCCCAGGTTTCCCAGCAAGCCCCAACTCCTCGGCGTTCCGTCCGATGGAGAGGTCAGCCAACCGCCAGCCGCCCACCACGCTGCGCATACCCAGGTCATGTGGGCGCTGACGGCGACGAGCGTCTTCACATGCAACAGCTGGACCGTTGCTCGATATTCACATCAGCAGCGCAGCGCAGGCCGGGCTTGGTGAGGCTCACGCATTGCCAGCAGACAAACCGCCGCCGCGTGATTGGCCCGCGCGGCGACAACCTTGGAAGTGCATGCGGGTTAGCGCATTCTCCACTTCCGAGGCACAAGTTGCGCTCCAAGTGCTAGACGGAAGCCGAGCAGCCATCCGTTGCATCCATACAAAGCAGAAGCCGATCCCCAGACTTTTCGCCTTCATCTGCTCTCTTTCCATACCCCGTCTTTTCTCCCCTTCCCTTTTCAACCGCATCCACCACCATGCCTGAGAGAGTCATTGTTGTTGGCGCTGGCCGTAAGCATCACCGCATCATACACCGTCACGCGCATGGCTAATCACGACGACAGTGTCCGGCTTGAGCGCTGCTCACACCATCTACCTCGCTGGTGGAAATGTCGTTCTCCTCGACAAGAACAACTTCATGGGAGGCAACTCCACAAAGGCCACATCGGGAATCAACGGTGCTCTTACAAGGACGCAAGTCGACGAGAAGATCGGCGACAGCGTCAAGCAGTTCTACGATGACACACTCAAGTCTGCGCGAGACAAGGCGCGGCCAGACCTGATCAAGGTCCTGACCTACAAGTCCGCTGCTGCCGTCGAGTGGCTGATGGACGTCTTCAACCTAGACCTCACTCTCGTCTCGCGGTTGGGGTACGTCCGACAGTATTCCCGAATCTGACACATGTACTGACTTTGACAGCGGTCACTCCCAACCCCGTACCCACCGCGGCCACGATGCCAAGTTCCCTGGTATGGCCATCACATACGCTCTGATGCAACGATTCGAGGAGTTGGCCGAGCAGGAGCCAGAGCGCGTCCAGCTCGTCAAGAAGGCCAAGGTCTCCAAGATCAACACCGAGGGCAACCGTGCTACCGGTGTCACATACACATTCGGCGGCGAGGAGACGACACTCGAGGGACCCGTCATCCTGGCGACTGGTGGTTACGCTGCCGACTTCACAGAGGACTCTCTTCTGAAGAAGTGGAGGCCAGACACCTACGACCTCTCCACCACCAACGGTGCTCACGCTACCGGTGATGGACACAAGATGCTGATGAAGATTGGTGCCAACGGCATCGACATGGACAAGGTCCAAGTGCACCCTACCGGTCTGGTCGACCCCAAGGACCCTACCGCAAAGACCAAGTTCTTGGCCGCCGAAGGTACGTGCATCACCTACATATATCTTTCTCATGCTAACAGTCTCTAGCTCTCCGTGGTGAGGGTGGTATCCTTCTCAACAACAAGGGCAAGCGCTTCTGCGACGACCTCGGTCACCGCGACTACGTCTCCGGCATGATGTGGACTGAGAAGGAGAAAGGCAACTGGCCCATTCGCCTCGTCCTCAACTCCAAGGCATCCAACGTCCTCGACTTCCACACAAGACATTACTCCGGCCGTGGCCTGATGAAGAAGATGACCGGTGCGGAGCTCGCCAAGGAGATTGGTGTCAGCGACAAGGACCTCCAGGCCGAGTTCCAAAGCTACAACGCCATTGCCAAGGGCGAGAAGAAGGACGAGTGGAACAAGAAGTACTTCCACAACCTGCCCTTCGACATCAACGACACCTTCCATGTTGCGCAGATGGAGCCTGTTCTCCACTTCACCATGGGTGGTATCGAGATCAACGACCAAGCACAGTGCTTGAACTCTGACGGCAAGCCATTCGACGGTCTGTACGTCTGCGGTGAGCTTGCTGGTGGTGTTCACGGTGCCAACCGTCTCGGTGGTTCATCCCTTCTTGGCTGTGTCGTCTACGGTCGTGTAGCAGGAGAGTCTGCTTCCAAGTACCTCTTCCAACAAGCGCTCAACAAGTCTGGTGGCGCCGCCGTCAACCGTCTCGGTCAGATCTCACTGCACATCGACCCATCGCAACCGGGCAAGGTCTCCGTCGAGTGGGGCAATGGTGTCAGCGGAAACGCTCAAGCCAGCTCTTCGTCAGACCCCGTTGAGCAACAAAAGCAGCTGTCTTCCGCACCTGTCATGTCCTCGAACGGCGACTCGAATGACCCCGGCAAGGTTTCCAAGCCTAACGCACCCAAGAAGTTCAGCATTCCCGACAAGGAGTTCTCGCTCGAGGAGGTCGCAAAGCACAACAAGAAGGATGATCTATGGATTGCAGTAAAGGGCATTGTCATGGATGTCACCAACTGGACAGATGAGCACCCAG